TGAGAGACGTCTACCCCCCCCAAAAATTGAGATAGTGGGGAAGCGAAGGTGTGGGTGCGGTCCGAGAAGAGGTCGTAGGCTCTGAATACCAAGTGTTACGAGTGCAATTGAGTGAACGAACGAGAATTGCACTATCGAAGCAAGAGTACAATGAGCGAAGGCATGAGCGAAGAATATATAGCGAAACTACAGTGGTAACGGTAATGGACTGTGGTTGTCGCGCGACGGGCCTGGGACTGAGGTTGGGAAAAGTGTCGAAGCGGAGGCCCGGAGCGCGGGTTACCCGCCGAGCCGTGAGGTCGGGGTGCGACGTGCGAAGGTGGCGGGCGGATTGTCGATGCGAGGATTGCGAGCAGGGCCTATTTTTGGATTTTAGGTACTCTGATTTCCAGAGTAGTTTTTTTCCCAACTCTGAAATCTAGGGTTGTTCCTGCGCCTTACTCTGATTTGTCAGAGTAACCCTATACTTTCAAAAAAAAACCCAGGCACGTCAGAGTAATATTTTTCTCTACTCTGATGTTAGTTAAGTTTGGTGTACCATGACCTTAATAGGTTTTTGTTACGCCTTTTGTACTTGCATTTCCGCGTCGCCCACGTTTCCCCCCTCACTGCGATGTTTCAGAGTGAGGTGTTGGCGGCACCGATAATCTGACTAAGGGCGTGTCCGAAGTGAAACGTCAATAGATGTCGCTGGATGTCGGTAAATGTCATCCCTCGGATCGACAGTTCCAACCGTCAGGATTTACCGACATCCCCAAACGGATGTCCACGGATGTCAACGTTTCACTTCGGACACCCCCAAAGAGCGTGTCTGAAGTGAAATGTCGACGGATGTACAGTTTCGTCGGGGAATGCTGGCGAATCTCAACCCTCGGATTGAGCGTTCCGACCGTCAGGATTCCTCGACGTCCCTCAAAGTTTCGTCGGGAAACGTCGACGTTCACTTTAGACATAAAGAGAGAGGGGACTGGCTGGCATCGTGCGCTGGTTGGGAAAGTTGTCAAGCTACGGTAGCCAATCAGTGCTCATATTGCCGCCAACACACGACAGAAATCAGGAGAATGATCTCGACGATTCGGGGAAAACCCGCTAAACGCAGGGGGAGGTGGGGAGGGGAGGGGGGCGGGGGAGGGGGGGCCGGCAGGTATTCCCTATACAGAGTAAATTCGGTCCCCGAAAAAAAAACCCAGAGGCCTCAGAGTAAACTACAGCATAACTCTGACAAATCAGAGAAATCGGAAGTCCCAAAAAAATTACCCAGCGGGTACAGAGTTACTTTAAAAAATGACTCTGATTTTCAGAGAAACAGAGTAATTTACTCTGAAAACGTGAGGCCTGATTGCGAGTGGTAACGGTGCTGACTGTGGTGCTACAGTGATGTACGCGTTGAGCAGGGACGCGAAGTAAGGAAAAAGAGATTTTCCTTACAAAACAAAAGCATAAACCTCGAGCACTGAGAGATTCGAACTCTCGCGGGCAGAGCCCATGTACTTAGCAGGCACACGCCTTAACCACTCGGCCAAATGCTCTTACTTCGATTTAAATGTTTACGATACCGGAACTTTTATGTGAGCGAAATGGTTGAACGCGGTAAAGTACAACTGAGTAACGTTGCAAAGCGGTTTGAGTTCGAGCATCGACATTTTTGCCAGATCACACGCGCCGATCTTGTTCAGCACATTTCTATATCGGGGTTGTCGGCAAGTGTTCATAGGTCTCGCGCTTCATCGAATCCCAGCTGTCGGTGAACCTTCTACAGCGTCAGGAATCCACAGCGTGGCCATGCGTCAGCATGGAGGGATCTCCAAGCACAACAGGTAGAGGCTCGGGCGTGAACCACATCATCCTCCAAGTGCTCGAAAGCCATCCAGCTGTTGGCACGTGTCGTCGTATGCGCTGTCCCTTACGAGATATAGAGCCGCCTCGACTCTGTCGAAATGTAGTGGCCACGCCACGCCATAGGGGCGTGGAACAACGAAATTGCTCGACCAGTTCTTTTCCGCAGATGTTTCGCGATGGACAACCATTGGGTAATTACTTTCTGGGTAACCAACATCGAAGCCGCTGACGTCAAAAGTCACCTACGTGGCTCGATGGTACCCGTCAGATCATGCGCGCCCCTTCGTGGTACCCATCTTCCCTCCGTGGTACCCATCTTCCCTGCGTGGTACCCATCAACTGTGCGCGAATTCCCTGACTGGTACCGCAACATTTAAACTGATCTGTACACTGTACAACAAGGGTTTCAATGCGTTTTTCAGTACAACAAGGGTTTCAATGCGTATTATAACAACGTTTACACACTCTAATTGAACATTAATACCCTTGAACATAAATGTTTGAACGTGCCTTACACTGGACAGAGTGCAACATAGAAAGAAATCAACTCCTCTTCTAAAATCCTCACATTAACTCCAAACCTTCGTAAGCTCACACCACTGAACGATAGGTAGAATGAATCTTGCGACCATGTTTCGCAGCGCTCAGTCGGTTATTTGAACAAACTTTATAAGGTTGTATGCAAATAAATTGAGCATGCACCCCCAAAGCTAAACATAAAATCATAAACAAATAATACGTACATTCGTTGGTTTTTGGAAACAAAACTATACCCATAATGAAAATTAAATGTACCTTAAGTCAATATATACTTAACGTGTAAGTTGATTGTTTGCTATACGGATGTTTTTTTTCGGTTGATGCAATATATCAGTTTTATAGCACGTTATATTGTCGATGTTTCTTAGCCTAAACAAATCTACACAATGAATGTTTTTTATTTAAGAATCCAGCATTTCTTCTACACTCTATTATAGGTAATGCGTGTGATAAATTGACTCGATTAGGTGGCACTTCGGGCTTCTGACTCTATCGAGCTTGTAAACGTTAAGACAGTATACTGAAAAACGCATTGAAACCCTTGGTGTACGGTGTACAGCTCGGTTGAAATGTTGCGGTACCAGTCAGGGAATTCGCACACAGTTGATGGGTACCACGCAGGGAAGATGGGTACCACGGAGGGAAGATGGGTACCACGAAGGGGCGCGCATGATCTGACGGGTACCATCGAGCCACGTAGGTGACTTTTGACGTCAGCGGGCTCGATGTGAGTTACCCAGAAGGTAATTACCCCCATTTCAGTATATTGTCTTAACGTTTACAAGCTCAATAGAGTCAGAAGCCCGAAGTGCCACCTAATCGAGTCAATTTATCACACGCATTACCTATAATAGAGTGTAGAAGAAAAGCTGGATTCTTAAATAAAAAACATTCATTGTGTAGATTTGTTTAGGCTAAGAAACATCGACAATATAACGTGCTATAAGATAAAGTAAAACTGATATATTGCATCAACCGAAAAAAAACATCCGTATAGCAACCATTCAATACACAGATATGCGAAAGAGGGCGATTGTGCGTTCATGAGATCCGGGACTGGTTTGATGAAGGTGTGCTTGGGAAATTTACGAGCCGAACCAGTCTGCCGAGCCAGCCAAAGCAGCCGAACCAGTGCATGCAACACCAGCAGCGTCAACATAATAGGGATCTCCATTTCTGCTGCAGACACTCACGCCTATTTCTGAGCTAATTCGGTCGATCAGTTGGCATTCGCGCAAACTGCAGCTTCAAGATTCCAGATTCGGTTCGAACTACCATATCAGCCAAAGCTTGATTTATCTGCAGTTCGCGCGTTTCTCACTTGCCGGCCTTACCTCGTCTCCTTCAGCCGCAGGCTCCTGCTCGCCTCGCCTCACGTCGTTACACCTGCCACACGCTCACTCCAACTTTCGCCTTCGCACTCTCGCTTTTCTCCCACTCGTTTCATCTCCTCACCGTTGTTCGCCCTCGCCGTCACCACCGCCTTCCTCCACCTCCTCTCCCCGGACGTCTCGTTGTTCTCTCGCCATGGCGGAGCGCGGAGTCTCGCTGCCGGACCAACTGGTTGGCTTCTCAAACTTCAAGCGCCATAACCCCAAGACGGACCGTTTCGAGGTGCTGGATTTCCACCACGTGGAGTTCTGGTGCGGCGACGCGACGAGCACGTCCGGCCGCTTCTCATGGGGCCTCGGCATGCCGCTCGTCGCGAAATCTGATCTGACGACGGGTAACCAGACGTACTGCAGCTACGCCCTTAAATCGAACGACCTCGTGTTTGTCTTCTCCGCGCCGTACGGCGACCACGCGGCGCGGGCCGTCGCGGCGGGGTCGACGCCGGCGGCGGCGGTGGCGCCGGCGACGAACGGCGCGCCGATGCCTTGGTTTGATCGGCAGCAGGCGTCGGAGTTCTTCGCTCGGCACGGGCTGGCGGTGCGCGCCGTGGGGGTGAAAGTGACGGACGCGCAGGCGGCGTATGAGACGAGCGTGGCGAACGGCGCGACTGGCGTGGTGCCGCCGACGAAGCTTGTGGACAGGTGAGGATAGATAAGGGGAGAGGGGGAAAGGGGATTCGATTGCTCAGGTCGTGAGTGTCCCCTGGGTGTCTGGGTTCCGCGTGGGGACGTTGGAGCGTCTTTATTTGGGTTCGAGTGCTCTCGGTCTGGACTTAGAGTGTTGAGATGAATGAACTAAGCCCAGAGTCATGAACTGAGCTGGGTGATTAAGCTGGAAAGAATACGAACAGATACCAACTTAATCATCTTGCATGGGAGAAAGAATCTCGGAACTAATGAACCTATTCGTTTCCCTGGGCTTCTAGCCCCAGCCGTCACACATGGACATGCCTCGTGAATCTTTTTTTCCCCTCTCCTCCCTCCTCCCTCACAACCCCCTCCTCCTCCCGCTCCCCTTTCCCCTCCCCCTCTCCGCTCCCCCCTCCCCCCCTCCCTGGCGGCCGTCCCCCCTCCTCTTACCCTGTAACCATCAACTCCAACACCACCTCCTCTTCTCGCAACTCTTCCCTCCCTCTCTCCCGCCCCTCTTTCTCCCCAGTCCCTCCTCCTCCACCTCACTCTAACCTCTCTTTCCACCCTCACCCTCTTTCCTGCACTCCCCCACTACAGCAAGGACGGTGGGTCCGTGACGATAGCAGAAGTGGCTCTATACGGCGACGTGGTGCTACGATACGTCACCCAGCATGCCTCTTACTCCGGCCCCTTCCTTCCCAACTACGCACCCGCCTCCAACGCCGTTTCCTCCTACGGCCTTACCCGCCTCGACCATGCCGTGGGGAACGTTCCCAAGCTTCTTGACACCGTTCGGCATATTCTAAACTTCACAGGGTTTCATGAGTTCGCGGAATTTGTTGCGGCGGACGTGGGGACGCTGGATAGCGGGCTGAACTCGATGGTGCTCGCGAATAACGCGGAGAATGTTTTGTTTCCGATCAACGAGCCGACGTTCGGCACGCCGCGGAAATCGCAGATCCAAACATACCTGGAGCACAATGAAGGGCCAGGATTGCAGCATCTCGCGCTCTCGTGCACGGATATCATCGCGACGCTTCAGGAGATGCGCGCGCGGACGGAGCTGGGAGGGTTCGACTTCATGCCGCGGCCATCCGCGAATTACTACAAGGAGCTGCCGAAGCGGATTGGGCCGGATAGCGGGCTGTCAGAGAAGCTTATAAAGGATTGTGAGACGCTGGGTGTGCTGGTGGATAGGGATGATCAAGGCGTGCTGCTGCAGATTTTCACGCGACCTGTGGGGGATAGGTGAGAGGGGGAAGGGTGGTCGAGTGGTGGGGGCGTGCTTGGGGCTGGGGGACCATCGGGATGATTAAGGTGTGCTGTGCTGTGTGCAATCTGTTATAATTGTTTTCTTACTTCCCATCCTTTCTAGCCTCCTTTCTCTGTTCCTGTTTTCCCCCCTCTGTTTCCACTTCTCCCCCACAATCCCACCCCACCCCTTACAACTCCTCACTTTCCCTCTGTCCACCCCCTTCACCACTTACCGCCTCTCTTTGGCAGGCCCACACTGTTCTTGGAGATCATACAGCGTGTGGGGTGCATGTATCCAGGGCCAGATGGCACTCTGGTGCAGAAGGGAGGATGTGGGGGGTTCGGCAAGGGTAATTTCTCGGAGCTGTTCAAATCCATAGAGGATTATGAGCGTCTGCTGGATGCCTGATTCAGGAATAAATACTGAAGTTTGTTAGCAAGTATGAGTGAGCTTGTTTTCATTCTTGGTGGGTGATGTGGATTTCTTTTGCTGATTTTATTGTTGTAGATAAAAACTTCGTTTTGTAAGAACAGTAAGAATGCCATTAATATTGTCAACACATTTCTCTGTTGTGAGGAGCTGTCCCAGTAACCGAAGCCAAGAAGTTAGCTCATGTGAAGCAAATCTTCTGATCTAAACATTACAAACATTTGTCACGAAAAAAAAAAGTATGTACGAAGCATTACAGTAGGTAATCGAGGCCTTTGCAAAAGAGTGGTTTTTGCATGCCTCCCGCTCACCTCTCTTTGCTGCTGTCTCTTTGTCGCCCACCAAAATGGCTACTAGTCTTCCTCACCCCTCGTACCGCCTAACTCTCGAGTCGTCCCACCAATGCCTCCGCCGCGATTTTTCTTCGCGACGCGCCCCAGCCTGTAGGTTACGCCTCGCCTCGCGATCTAACATTGTTGCTGGTTACCACTCCACGCGGCCCAATCATGGAGGCTTGGGCAGCCCTTGCAACGGAAACCGAATCGTGAAGGACGGATTTAACAGTTTCCGGAAGCGTATCGCTGGGCGGGTTCCGCGAACGGCTTTTGTTGTCTGCAGTGCAGCACGCGCGGACGACGATAACGACGCGGGGAGCTCCGCGGAACTCGCGTCCGCTGCGGAGCGGAAGGCGGGGAGGCAACAAGCGGATTTCTTTTCCGCAGAAATGCGACGGGATGAGATGGAGGGAGGAGAGAGGCAGAGAGAAGAGACTGGGAGAGGAGGGAGCGAGAGAGGGAGAGCCGGAGAGAGGGATGGGGAGTTGGAGGAGGGGGAGACGGAAGGAGGGATGGTGGAGCGGGAGAGGGAGACAAAGTACGGCGGCTGGTCTTGGGGGGAAGAGGAGCAAACGGCGTGGCCCGTGCCGCGTGTAGTGGACTCACAAGTGATTCTTGAAGACTTCCTGGTGAGCGGTGGAGAGTGGTTTTGAGTCATTCTTAAAGACTTTCAGGTGAGCGGTGGAGAGTGGTGGGGCTGGATGCAGGGCTATTCCTCTTTCAAGCAAACCATTCCTCCTCCATGCAACCCCACCGCTCTAAACCCCGCACCACCGCTCACCAAAACTTTCTTCCCATCTAACTCCTTCACCCACCTCTCCCATCGTCCCCCTGCCCTCCCGCCTTTTCCTTCCCCCCTTCCCTCCCCTTCTCCCCGCGCAGAGCAGAGTGTGCGCAGGGACGTTATCGCCCTCCCCTCCGGCCTCTCCTCTCCCTACCTCACAGTGTTTGCCCGCCCTCTTGCCGTTGCTGTGGTAAGCATCTCGTCTCATCTCATCTCACCTCGTCTCATCTCATCTCACCTCGTCTCATCTCATCTCACCGCCCTCTTCCTGCAGGCTCTGCTTTTTTTGGCGTCTCCTGGTCTTTGCGGTTGGGGTTTGCTCGCGTGGGAGTGTGTGCAGTGAAATGGTTGAGTTGAGAGTCGAGATGGTGCATGATATGGTATGGCACTATGATTCATCACTCATCACTCATCATCCTAGCACGCCTTCGACTTGCCCTGTCTTTTTTGTTCCACCACCACTTAGTTCCGTTGTGTTACCTTACCGTTACGACTTGTCCTGTGACTTGTCCTTTGACTTGTCCTTTGACTTGTTCTTTGACTTGTCCTGCCTTTTCCCCTTAGTCCGGTGATGCATGCAGTCAGACTGTCCGCGTCCCTCCGTCCATAAGAGTGTTGAGCACACGGGATGTATCCTCAGCACTCATGCCTTTCCCACTCCCTTCCCCACCTCCTCATCCCTTCATTCTCCTGTGTCCCTCCGTTCTTTCGCAACCCCCCACTCCTCGTTCCTCCAACACACCGCACTGCACCCATCAGGTAGCCATGACTGTTGACAGCAAGGTAGTTGTGAATCAAGGTCAGTTGGACACCAACAAAATGTAGTGCCCATTTAATACGCAACCATGCACTTGTACAGGCACACACACATGCGCATGCCCATGCCTATGCACATGCCCATGCCTATGCACATGCCCATGCCTATGCACATGCCCATGCACATGCACATGCCCATGCACATGCACGTGCCCATGCACATGCACATGCCCATGCCCATGCACATGCACGTACCCACTGACCTATCCCCCTCCTTCCCCTTCCCCCTTCCACTCTTCCTCGTCCACGTTCCATCCTCTCTGCTATAACCCAGAGTACCGGCATGCAGTGGGGGCGTATGTGCTGAGTCTGCCAGGGGGAGTGATGGACGCAGGGGAGACGCCAGAGCAGGTGAGCTTCCATCAGCAAGACAGCAAGGCAGCAACGGCAGAGAGGGAGGAGGAGGGTCAACCGTCAGTTACCCGCCCTGCTGATGCTTCACCACCGCCCATGTTCCGTGCTCTGTCATTGCACTTGCTGCTCATGCTCTTGTGTCATTGCAGTTGCTGCTTCATCCTTGTGTCAGCCCGTCCTTGTGTCAGCCCTTCCTTGTGTCAGCCCTTCCTTGTGTCAGCCCTTCCTTGTGTCAGCCCTTCCTTGTGTCAGCCCTTCCTTGTGTCAGCCCTTCCTTGTGTCAGCCCTTCCTTGTGTCAGCCCTTCCTTGTGTCAGCCCTTCCTTGTGTCAGCCCTTCCTTGTGTCAGCCCTTCCTTGTGTCAGCCCTTCCTTGTGTCAGCCCTTCCTTGTGTCAGCCCGTCCTTGTGTCAGCCCGTCCTTGTGTCAGCCCTTCCTTGTGTCAGCCCGTCCTTGTGTCAGCCCGTCCTTGTGTCAGCCCTTCCTTGTGTCAGCCCTTCCTTGTGTCAGCCCGTCCTTGTGTCAGCCCGTCCTTGTGTCAGCCCTTCCTTGTGTCAGCCCGTCCTTGTGTCAGCCCTTCCTTGTGTCAGCCCTTCCTTGTGTCAGCCCTTCCTTGTGTCAGCCCTTCCTTGTGTCAGCCCTTCCTTGTGTCAGCCCTTCCTTGTGTCAGCCCTTCCTTGTGTCAGCCCTTCCTTGTGTCAGCCCGTCCTTGTGTCAGCCCGTCCTTGTGTCAGCCCTTCCTTGTGTCAGCCCGTCCTTGTGTCAGCCCGTCCTTGTGTCAGCCCGTCCTTGTGTCAGCCCTTCCTTGTGTCAGCCCGTCCTTGTGTCAGCCCTTCCTTGTATCAGCCCTTCCTTGTGTCAGCCCTTCCTTGTGTCAGCCCTTCCTTGTGTCAGCCCTTCCTTGTGTCAGCCCTTCCTTGTGTCAGCCCTTCCTTGTGTCAGCCCGTCCTTGTGTCAGCCCGTCCTTGTGTCAGCCCTTCCTTGTGTCAGCCCGTCCTTGTGTCAGCCCTTCCTTGTGTCAGCCCTTCCTTGTGTCAGCCCTTCCTTGTGTCAGCCCTTCCTTGTGTCAGCCCGTCCTTGTGTCAGCCCTTCCTTGTGTCAGCCCTTCCTTGTGTCAGCCCTTCCTTGTGTCAGCCCGTCCTTGTGTCAGCCCTTCCTTGTGTCAGCCCTTCCTTGTGTCAGCCCTTCCTTGTGTCAGCCCTTCCTTGTGTCAGCCCTTCCTTGTGTCAGCCCTTCCTTGTGTCAGCCCTTCCTTGTGTCAGCCCTTCCTTGTGTCAGCCCTTCCTTGTGTCAGCCCTTCCTTGTGTCAGCCCTTCCTTGTGTCAGCCCTTCCTTGTGTCAGCCCTTCCTTGTGTCAGCCCTTCCTTGTGTCAGCCCGTCCTTGTGTCAGCCCGTCCTTGTGTCAGCCCTTCCTTGTGTCAGCCCGTCCTTGTGTCAGCCCTTCCTTGTGTCAGCCCGTCCTTGTGTCAGCCCTTCCTTGTGTCAGCCCTTCCTTGTGTCAGCCCTTCCTTGTGTCAGCCCTTCCTTGTGTCAGCCCGTCCTTGTGTCAGCCCTTCCTTGTGTCAGCCCTTCCTTGTGTCAGCCCTTCCTTGTGTCAGCCCTTCCTTGTGTCAGCCCTTCCTTGTGTCAGCCCTTCCTTGTGTCAGCCCTTCCTTGTGTCAGCCCGTCCTTGTGTCAGCCCTTCCTTGTGTCAGCCCTTCCTTGTGTCAGCCCTTGCTTGTGTCAGCCCTTCCTTGTGTCAGCCCTTCCTTGTGTCAGCCCTTCCTTGTGTCAGCCCTTCCTTGTGTCAGCCCTTCCTTGTGTCAGCCCTTCCTTGTGTCAGCCCTTCCTTGTGTCAGCCCTTCCTTGTGTCAGCCCTTCCTTGTGTCAGCCCTTCCTTGTGTCAGCCCTTCCTTGTGTCAGCCCTTCCTTGTGTCAGCCCTTCCTTGTGTCAGCCCTTCCTTGTGTGTCAGCCCTTCCTTGTGTCAGCCCGTCCTTGTGTCAGCCCGTCCTTGTGTCAGCCCTTCCTTGTGTCAGCCCTTCCTTGTGTCAGCCCTTCCTTGTGTCAGCCCTTCCTTGTGTCAGCCCTTCCTTGTGTCAGCCCGTCCTTGTGTCAGCCCGTCCTTGTGTCAGCCCTTCCTTGTGTCAGCCCTTCCTTGTGTCAGCCCGTCCTTGTGTCAGCCCGTCCTTGTGTCAGCCCGTCCTTGTGTCAGCCCGTCCTTGTGTCAGCCCTTCCTTGTGTCAGCCCGTCCTTGTGTCAGCCCTTCCTTGTGTCAGCCCTTCCTTGTGTCAGCCCTTCCTTGTGTCAGCCCTTCCTTGTGTCAGCCCTTCCTTGTGTCAGCCCTTCCTTGTGTCAGCCCTTCCTTGTGTCAGCCCGTCCTTGTGTCAGCCCGTCCTTGTGTCAGCCCTTCCTTGTGTCAGCCCGTCCTTGTGTCAGCCCTTCCTTGTGTCAGCCCTTCCTTGTGTCAGCCCTTCCTTGTGTCAGCCCTTCCTTGTGTCAGCCCGTCCTTGTGTCAGCCCTTCCTTGTGTCAGCCCTTCCTTGTGTCAGCCCTTCCTTGTGTCAGCCCTTCCTTGTGTCAGCCCTTCCTTGTGTCAGCCCTTCCTTGTGTCAGCCCTTCCTTGTGTCAGCCCTTCCTTGTGTCAGCCCTTCCTTGTGTCAGCCCTTCCTTGTGTCAGCCCTTCCTTGTGTCAGCCCTTCCTTGTGTCAGCCCTTCCTTGTGTCAGCCCTTCCTTGTGTCAGCCCTTCCTTGTGTCAGCCCTTCCTTGTGTCAGCCCTTCCTTGTGTCAGCCCTTCCTTGTGTCAGCCCTTCCTTGTGTCAGCCCTTCCTTGTTTCAGCCCGTCCTTGTGTCAGCCCGTCCTTGTGTCAGCCCTTCCTTGTGTCAGCCCTTCCTTGTGTCAGCCCGTCCTTGTGTCAGCCCGTCCTTGTGTCAGCCCGTCCTTGTGTCAGCCCGTCCTTGTGTCAGCCCTTCCTTGTGTCAGCCCGTCCTTGTGTCAGCCCTTCCTTGTGTCAGCCCTTCCTTGTGTCAGCCCTTCCTTGTGTCAGCCCTTCCTTGTGTCAGCCCTTCCTTGTGTCAGCCCTTCCTTGTGTCAGCCCTTCCTTGTGTCAGCCCGTCCTTGTGTCAGCCCGTCCTTGTGTCAGCCCTTCCTTGTGTCAGCCCGTCCTTGTGTCAGCCCTTCCTTGTGTCAGCCCTTCCTTGTGTCAGCCCTTCCTTGTGTCAGCCCTTCCTTGTGTCAGCCCTTCCTTGTGTCAGCCCTTCCTTGTGTCAGCCCTTCCTTGTGTCAGCCCTTCCTTGTGTCAGCCCTTCCTTGTGTCAGCCCTTCCTTGTGTCAGCCCTTCCTTGTGTCAGCCCTTCCTTGTGTCAGCCCGTCCTTGTGTCAGCCCGTCCTTGTGTCAGCCCGTCCTTGTGTCAGCCCTTCCTTGTGTCAGCCCGTCCTTGTGTCAGCCCTTCCTTGTGTCAGCCCTTCCTTGTGTCAGCCCTTCCTTGTGTCAGCCCTTCCTTGTGTCAGCCCTTCCTTGTGTCAGCCCTTCCTTGTGTCAGCCCTTCCTTGTGTCAGCCCTTCCTTGTGTCAGCCCGTCCTTGTGTCAGCCCTTCCTTGTGTCAGCCCGTCCTTGTGTCAGCCCTTCCTTGTGTCAGCCCTTCCTTGTGTCAGCCCTTCCTTGTGTCAGCCCGTCCTTGTGTCAGCCCGTCCTTGTGTCAGCCCTTCCTTGTGTCAGCCCTTCCTTGTGTCAGCCCTTCCTTGTGTCAGCCCTTCCTTGTGTCAGCCCTTCCTTGTGTCAGCCCTTCCTTGTGTCAGCCCTTCCTTGTGTCAGCCCTTCCTTGTGTCAGCCCTTCCTTGTGTCAGCCCTTCCTTGTGTCAGCCCGTCCTTGTGTCAGCCCGTCCTTGTGTCAGCCCGTCCTTGTGTCAGCCCTTCCTTGTGTCAGCCCTTCCTTGTGTCAGCCCGTCCTTGTGTCAGCCCGTCCTTGTGTCAGCCCGTCCTTGTGTCAGCCCGTCCTTGTGTCAGCCCGTCCTTGTGTCAGCCCGTCCTTGTGTCAGCCCTTCCTTGTGTCAGCCCTTCCTTGTGTCAGCCCTTCCTTGTGTCAGCCCTTCCTTGTGTCAGCCCTTCCTTGTGTCAGCCCTTCCTTGTGTCAGCCCGTCCTTGTGTCAGCCCTTCCTTGTGTCAGCCCTTCCTTGTGTCAGCCCGTCCTTGTGTCAGCCCTTCCTTGTGTCAGCCCTTCCTTGTGTCAGCCCTTCCTTGTGTCAGCCCTTCCTTGTGTCAGCCCTTCCTTGTGTCAGCCCTTCCTTGTGTCAGCCCTTCCTTGTGTCAGCCCTTCCTTGTGTCAGCCCTTCCTTGTGTCAGCCCTTCCTTGTGTCAGCCCTTCCTTGTGTCAGCCCTTCCTTGTGTCAGCCCTTCCTTGTGTCAGCCCGTCCTTGTGTCAGCCCGTCCTTGTGTCAGCCCTTCCTTGTGTCAGCCCGTCCTTGTGTCAGCCCTTCCTTGTGTCAGCCCTTCCTTGTGTCAGCCCTTCCTTGTGTCAGCCCTTCCTTGTGTCAGCCCTTCCTTGTGTCAGCCCTTCCTTGTGTCAGCCCTTCCTTGTGTCAGCCCTTCCTTGTGTCAGCCCTTCCTTGTGTCAGCCCGTCCTTGTGTCAGCCCTTCCTTGTGTCAGCCCTTCCTTGTGTCAGCCCTTCCTTGTGTCAGCCCTTCCTTGTGTCAGCCCTTCCTTGTGTCAGCCCTTCCTTGTGTCAGCCCTTCCTTGTGTCAGCCCTTCCTTGTGTCAGCCCTTCCTTGTGTCAGCCCTTCCTTGTGTCAGCCCTTCCTTGTGTCAGCCCTTCCTTGTGTCAGCCCGTCCTTGTGTCAGCCCTTCCTTGTGTCAGCCCGTCCTTGTGTCAGCCCTTCCTTGTGTCAGCCCTTCCTTGTGTCAGCCCTTCCTTGTGTCAGCCCTTCCTTGTGTCAGCCCTTCCTTGTGTCAGCCCTTCCTTGTGTCAGCCCTTCCTTGTGTCAGCCCTTCCTTGTGTCAGCCCTTCCTTGTGTCAGCCCTTCC